CCCTTGGAACAATCTCCGTCAACCTTACACGTTGTGGCACTCGTCGTAATGACGGGACATAGACCTGGATATCCTTCAGAAGCAAAGATCAGACAAAGGCATTAACATTACACCAATACAGATGCCACCACTTCCTGTCAGCTACAAGCTGGCACTCAGGTGAGTGAGTGCCAAGTCATGCCCGTGGCCACCCTAGTCCTACCCAGTCACTAGGGAACAAGGAGCATATTTACACACACGATCAGACAAAAGCAGGGACACATACCAGAAGTAGATTGCACACATGTACGGATAGTTCCATATGCACAGCACTTCAATTTGCCAGGACAGTCGCAATCACAGGTACAGCCTGATGTTGATGGCAGCCTCCCCCCATTTGTTGGACAGGCACCAGCTCTGCAGACTACATGGGAAAATCCATACCATAGGCTCAACTCCAATAGAGTAAATAAACCAAACTGCATGCAAAAGGCAGACAAGAACATCTTTAGTAGAAGTTGTTAGCCATTTAGCTAAACATTCAGAAGCTGCCATTTCAGATTCATGCAGGAGTTTCTGGTCAGATCAAGGAATTTGACTGGACAAGACAGCAATTGGAGCATTTTGTTGGTACATTTTGAATAAACCATGTGGATCCTCCACCCATTGGTGAGCTGGAAGACATCCCAGTCAGTCAATTTAGGCATAACCATGACTTAGAAATGGGCATTGGCACGATAAGGGACACAGTTCACATAAAAGGAAGGATCAATCAATCAACCAAGCAGTGAACCACGACAAATACTTGCAGGCCTAATGAATTATTCTTCTACATTAACACAACGGCTATATAACAAGGAGATGGACAAGGAGCGTTAAACTCACCAGGACATGGTTTTTCACATCCAAACCCAAATACAATTTACAACTTAGCCATAACAACAGCCGCCAGAAACACCCGCATTATTGCAACCCTGTCGTCTATTGCTTTTTACTTAGCATGGTACTGACTTTGGAAAACGCCAATTTAAAGGCAACTTTAAAAAGAGGCGTGGCGAGAGGACGGCGCTACATTTGTCATCGACGCATCACTTTTCGCACAATATATAGCGTACTATAAAATGTATTTTTATTTTTTCATTCTCAAGTAAAGCTTAATGTGTTGTGACCGGTGAGCGAGCGAGCCGGGAAACAGGCGAGGCAAGCCGAGGATGCAGGCAATCGGGGTTTATTCGGGACGACAGGACATGGACACCAATAAACATCAATGACGGATCTGGGGTAACAGACTCAGACGCGGACTAAATACAGCAGACAAGCCAAACTAACAAGGAACAGCTGGGCACGATCGGGAAAGCACACGTGGATAATGAGGGGGCGTGGCACACATCAGGAGCGGACGGAGCAGGGTGTGACATAACCCCCCCCCCAAAGGCG